AGAGAGAGAGGCAGCAAGAAAATGAGGCAGACGTGCTGAACGAAGATAACAAGGAAGTGGTTTCCTTAGCAACAACAGTACTTTGGATGGTTTCAGTCAAGAGTACAACTGGGTACAAAGTATCTGATTAAAATTTATTGCAGGGGATAGAAGCAGTGCAAACGCTAACAGATTCACTGTGCATGCAGCAGAGCAAGTGCTAGAGTTGTACAGTATGTGTGGAACATCTTCAGCACACATTAGGGAGAGAAGCAGCCTGGGTGGCAAGCAATGAGGTGGAGGTAGCACAACCAAACTTTCAAGAGATACAAAATGCAAAATGGGTTGTCATTATATAGAAACAGTCACATCAGATGGAAAGTTTTGCTTGGAGAAATTCCTGATGTGGAAAATTACACAAAAATACTTATACCTTGGCAGCACACCTTTTTCCCCCTCCCTTTTAACACCAGCACAGTTTTTACATGTAATACTTGTTTGCCAGCTTACTGTATTTTAACAACAAATTATAGAAATATATTTTTGTCTTGTAGCAACAGACGAGAAACACTGAAACCAGCAAATCTCAAGGTAAAATGTAACTGTATGTGCACCCCATCCTGTAGGAAATGAATGTGAAGTCTAGGATCCCAGGCCCTTCCCTTGATGCTTCCCTTCTCTTGATGCTTTCCAGCCTAAAACAAATTTTTTTTATAGCTTTTGGAGTTATCAATAACACCATGTTGAAGAACAATACAGAGAGAAAGATCAGGGCGGTGTGTCAATGATGGATGGATTTCTTTAGTGGTCCAGATCATCATTTGACATAAATCAGTCAAGTGCTAATGCAGCCCATGGGGCTATACCAATTTTCTACAATTTAGGATGTTTCCCAGATATGCAAGGGAAATGTTTTGTTTCCAAACATGGCTGGCTAGTTTAAGGTTCCCATTTCTGTGTTTGGACAGTTACTATAATTCAGATACCTAAAATCCCATTGTAAATGTCAAGAGAAGGAATTTAATAGCCCTAATCCTTTCTTTGTGCCCCAGTGTCCTGATTTGTAAAATGAATGTAGGAGCGTCTCAAAGAGGTGTTGTGAGATTTATTTGAAGAAATATAGAGTTTTTTAGATCCTTGTCAAATAGCAACTATGTAGATGTGTAATAATCTCACAAAGAACCCTTCAAAATTTTGCATTCTTATATGAACCCTTGGGGTTTCAATACCGGATCTGAATTTTTATGACAGAATTTTTTCCTCTCTGGTATTTCCACTAAACTCCATCTTTCACAGGTTTATTGTGGTGCATAGAAAATGTCTGCAATGCAATGCAGCTCTAGAAGTAAAAAAAAAAACAAAAAAAAAATTTCCCTGTTCTTCCTTCAATGTTTCAGCTAAGAGCAGAAATGATTAATATAAAAAGTGATCACTTGACCTAAACACTGAAAAAAACCCAAAACCTTTTGGATACTCCTCTGTCCAAAGGAGTGAGACATTCTATAGGAATTTACTCAATGTTAAAATTACTAAAATTTGGTTTGACTCAGAATGCAGGAAAAGGTTTTCTATGAAGTCTATTAGTTTACCTTACAAATTACTGGGAAATCCTCATATGTAACTGCAGGTCAAAAGAGAAGCTAAGTAAAAAGAGCCCTCTTATACCCATTTTCACTTGAAGTAGGCCCCTTTACTTTCCTTAATTCATTATAATAGCATATTGTGGGCTTTCGCCAGATCCCAACCCACCCACAGTTGGGTGGGTTGGGATCTGGCGAAAGGGTCGAACCCAGAGAATATTAGTGGACCGGTCTGTATTGTCTTGGCAGAAGGTAGCCAATGGTGTCCCTGCTTCTTGGGTCCTGTGCTGTTCAAGATCTTTATCAATGATTTAGATGAAGATGTAGAAAACATGCTGCCAAGTTTGCGGGTGATACTAAGTTATGGAGAAAAGCGGTCATGCTAGGGGATAGGATGCAGATCCAAATGGACCTAGACAAGCTGGAAAGGTGGGCAGAGTGGAATTGAATGCAGTTGATTAAGGATAAACGCAGAGTACTTCATCTGGGAAGAAGTAATGTGCGACATGAATACAGGAGATGTCCTAGCTAGCACAATGGCTGAAAGGGACGTCAAGATTATGGTTGATCACAGGATGAATATGAGCCACCAGTGTGACACTGTAGTCAACAGAGCTAATAGCATATTAGAATACATTAGCTGATGCATTGTGAGCAGGGCTAAGGAAGTGATGCTTCCTTTCTACTCAGAGTTGGTGAGACTTCAGCTGGAATACTGTGTCCAGTTTTGGGCACTGAACTTCAAAAAAGATGTGGAGAATCTTGAAGTGTCTAGAGAAGGGCCACAAGAATGATTAAGGGCCTGGAGGACAAACCTTATGAGGAAAGACTAAGGAATCTGGGACTGTTCAGCGTGGGGAAGAGAAGACTGAGGGGGGGACTTAGTGGCCATCTATAAGTATGCCAGGGGTGAATATTAGGGCTGTGCAAAGCTTTGGTTGCTGATGCAATTTAGAGGAGGTTCAGCCCAGTTCAGTGGTCGAATCTCCAAATCTGAATTGAACTGGAAGACCAATAAAAAGGTCCAAATTGATTCAAAGCCTTTGAATCAATACAGAGATTCAGGCAGTCCCTCCTCGCTGCCACAGGGAGCTAGAACCAGGCTCTGTGCTGGTGAGTAGGGGGTGAGGGGGGCTGGAGGAGGGCAGAGGGGACCATGGGGGGACCCCCACCAGGCCCCATCCTCTGCCTGCTCCTCCTACCCCCGCCCAGTCTCCCAGCCCTGTCAATGGCTGCCCCTCCTGGCCCCAGTGTCCTGGCACTTAAAAAAGGCCCACACTCACCGGCTGCTGTGGCAGCCATCAGGGCCTCTGGGGGCTCATGGCAGAGCAGGGATCACCCCTCCCACCCCTTGCCTGGCAGGAGCCAATGAGTGCAGGGCTTTTTTTGTTGTTGTTTAAGTGCCAGGATGCTGGGGCTGAGCGTGGCAGCCATCGATGGGGCTGGGAGGTTGGGTGGGGGATGGGGCCTGTTCGACTAGGAGATTTGGCTGATTTGGAGTGGCCGAATCTCCGAATCAGATTTGGCTGAATCAATTCAGGACACTGATTTGAATCACTGAATCAAATCACTGTCCCCTGAATTGGCGAAATCCAAATCTGAAGTGAATACTAGCCACTTTATACAGGCCTAGTGGATTTCAGGAGCTCAGAGAAAAAACTGTTTACTAGGGCATCCCAGGGGAGGTTAAGGAGCGTTGGCCTTAAACTGTTAGAGGATGGTTTCAAGTTGGATATAAGGAAGAAATTCTTTATGGCAAGGGTGATCAGAATCTGGAATAGACTTCCCAAGGAGGTGGCTCAGTCCCCAACCTTGGAAGTCTTCAAGAGGAGACTAGACAGACACCTTGCTGGGATTGTTTAATGTCAGCAGTATTCCTGCCCAGAGCAGGGGGGTTGGACTTGATCTTTTCATAGTTTCATAGTTTGGTAGGGTCGGAAGGGACCTGAGCAGATCATCACATGCAACCCCCTGCCATGGCAGGAAAGAGTACTGGGGTTAAATGACCCCAGCAAGGTTTTTGTCTAGCCTTGTCTTAAAAACCCGCAAAGTAGGAGCCAGCACCACTTTGCTTGGAAGTTGGTTCCAGATCTTAGCCGCCCTGACCGTGAAGTAGCGCCTTCTGATGTCTAATCTGAATTTACCCTCTGCCAACTTGTGACCGTTATTTGTAGTCACTCCTGGTGGTGCTTGGGGAAACAGGGACTCCTCCAATGCCTGCTGGTCCCTTCTGACTAGGTTGTAACAGGAGATCATCAGGACCAGC